TTGTGTTTATAGTGCAAAAAATAAAAATCCAGAGGTGATCAATTACCACCAAAAAATAACTCTCTATTTGTGTTAAAAAAAGGACATACATTTTATTTGGGTACAGCATTGCATGACCGCGCAATTATCAGTTGAAACAATACAGCGCCGTAACGCAAGAAATGGCCTTGTCAGGAAAAGGCGTAAATTCTCTGGAGGGAAAGTGGTTAAAGAAATAAATATTTCTGCACTCAGGTGAAAATCAATAAATGGGAAGCTGCCTGCATAGTACTTTGATACCAAATACTTCAAGATGCATACATAAAAGTGTGCTTATTCTCTTAGCATAAATGCAAATATAAACCAAATGTATACCATAATCATTAAAAAGAATAAATTGTATCAAAACTGCATATACAAAGAGTGAAATATGTGCACTTAGTGCTTAACAAATTAATACTCCCAAAAACAGACATGTGATCAAATTTCATATACAAAGTCCATTCTGGTGTCTTCAAAGTGCTGGTGTGAAAAGATAGGTGCCAAAATAAGAAAAGACAGCTTATCACCAGTATGAAAATAGAGATTGCTTACCAGATTTTTGTTTTACCTTTTTTCACTGGATTGCTGCCCTGGGGCAATACAGATTTCCTAGTCTGATCCTTGTGAATTCTCTTGTTCTCATAATCCAAGTGCAATAGACTGACCGAGGATTGCAGGTTACTGGGTTCCTGTAAGCTGCCTCTGCGTTCAAGGTGATGGAATGTTGCACCTAAGTAGTTTCTTCCATTTTAAACTGTTTTAATGTGAGTTCTCTACCTTTGCTCTTTTTTATCTTTATAAGTTGAACTATTGGAAGCTTTCCCATCTGTTTATTTTCACATGCATACTGGGGACAATTCACTAAAGGTTATCATATGCGTTATGTCGGAAACGTGACTACATACCGCATGCGATACTGTGTCGTCCCCCCACCCATCCATACCCAGCCCTTCAGGACTGGTATGGATTTTGGGGGGTCCCCCAAGCCATTTTTTTATTCTGGTTTGGGGTTCCCCTCAAAACCCATATCCGACCCTAAGGGCTTGGTATGGATGAGGGGGGACCCCAAGCTTTTTTCCGATTAATTTATAATTGCCGACAATTCTTTTTTTTACATTACTACATGTTTTCACTACTAAAATGCCGCATAACTTAATAAAATATTTCATACGGTATTTTAGTAGCCTTTTTTAGTGAAGGCCAATGTGTTTTTTTTGAAAAATGCTGTGCGGTATCTTACAGCATACTTGTATGCATTAAGATACCGCTTAGTGAATTGATCCCTATAAGTCATATGGAGAGAATCCTGGAGAATCGCTGGGGAATTGAATAGATCTTTGAACTTGATTACTGCTGATGCCTTTTTAACTTAGTGATTTTGACCACTCAGTGAAACAATTCTGGTAATCAGCTTCTGCTTCATACTGTTGGTGAACTGCACTTAAGCCTTTCCTCATTGTTGCACCCATCTTTTCATACCAGCACTTTGAATGGACTTTGTAAACTTCACAATATTTTAGTTGTTTGATCAAATGTCTGTTTTTCTGACATTTTATATATTAAGCATGAAGTGCGCATATTTTACTAGTTATATAGTTAGTCTGGCTGAAAAAAAAAGACAAAAGTCCATCCAGTTCAACCATTATCACAAAAAAAAAAAAAAAAAAAAAAAAGTAAAATCTTATACCCACAGTTGATCCAGAGGAAAAAAAAAACCCCCCAGCAAAGCATGATCCAGTTTGCTCCTGCAGGGTAAAAACATTCCTTCCTGATCCCCCGAGAGAAAATTGGATATTCCCTGGATCAACTTTACCTATAAATGTTAGTATCCAGTTATATTCTGTGTATCCAAGAAACAATCCAGGCCTTTTTTAAAGCAATCTACTGAGCTGGCCAGAACTCTTGAGGGAGTCTATTCCACATTTTTCACAGCTCTCACTGTGAAGAAACCTTTCCGTGTTTGGAGTTTAAATTTCTTTTCCTCCAGACGAAAGAGTGCCCGCTTGTCCTCTGTGATGACGTCAGGGTGAATAACTCTACACTGAGTTCGCTATATGAACCACTGATGTATTTATACATGTTGATAATATCCCCCCTTAATCTCCTCTTCTCAAGAGAGAATAAATTCAGTTACTCTAATTTTTCCTCATAGCTGAGCTCCTCCATGGTTGCCCTTCTCTGTACTTTCTCCAGTTTCCCAATGTTCTTTTTGTGAATTGGTGCCCAAAACTGAACTGCATATTCAAGATGAGGTCTTACTAATGATTTGTACAGGGGTAAAATGTATCTCTCTCTGGAGTCTATACCTCTTTTAATACATGAGAGGATTTTGCTCGCTTTAGAAACCGCAGCTTGGCATTGCATGCCATTATTAACCCTAGACCATTCAGAGTATGAATCATTAACCACTACTTTTTGAATACGATCTTTTAGCCAGTTTTCTATCCATTTACATAAGGATTTTTCCAAGCCCGTAGACTTTACCTTACACATTACCAATATGTACAGTATCTCACAGAAGTGAGTACACCCCTCACATTTTTGTAAATATTTTATTATTTCTTTTCATGTGACAACACTGAAGAAGTGTTAGAGGTGAACTGCACTCCCCGATCGGATACGATATTGCTGTGAATACCATGTAACTTCACAATCTCTTTAATGAAAGCAGAAGCAGTCTTAGCAGCAGAAGGAGTCCCTCTCAGGGGTGTGAAATGGGCCATCTTTTACAGATGATCAACCACGACAAAGATAGTTGTGAACCCTTCAGATGGAGGAAGCTCTACAATAAAGTCCAGAGAAATCATACTCCATGGTTTTTCAGGTAGTGGAAGGGATTCCAATAGGCCCCAGGTCTTGGCTCTATCAGACTTGTTTCAGAGGCATACCAAGCAAGATCTAATGTAATTTTTACAATCTTTCATTACGTTTGGCCACCAGAAGGAACGGGAGACCGAACTTGAGGTCTTGTGGATCCCGAAGTGACCCGCTAAAGGATGGTCATGGCATCTTTTAAGAATGAGAGTCCTGAGTTGTTCCGGTATATAAATCTGTTCTTTATGCAGATACAGGCCGTCCCTTAGCTGAAGATGCATTTCCAAGGGGGGTGGATGCTCATCAACTGCTTCCTTTATTTGTGATACAAGGTCTGCTTGCAGGAGTAAAACGTTTTTAGATGGCAGGATCGTGTCAGGCTCAGATGGTACTATTGGGTCATGATACATGCGTGAGAGCGCATCGGGTTTGCCGTTCTTTGATCCTGGACGGTATGTCAAGTGAAACACAAAGTGGGAGAAGAAAAGTGCCCATCTTGCCTGCCGTGGCCTTAGGCGTTTTGCAGTTTTCAAGTATTCCAGATTTTTGTGATCCGTAAAAATGAGGATAGGGTGTGAAGCTCCCTCCAGCAAGTAGCACCATTCCTCGTGGGCCGCCTTGATGGCTAACAGCTCCGTCTCCTACGTCATAGTTCCTTTCAGGGGAGCTTAACTTTCTAGAGAAGAAGGCAACAAGGTGAAGGAGGGACTTGGGTCCCTGTCGTTGAGACAATATAGCTCCAACAGCATTTTCAGAAGCATCTACTTCGAGAACATAAGCTAAAGCAGGATCTGGGTGCTTCAGGATAGGAGCAGGTGAATAAGGTCTTTAGTTGTTCAAAAGCTGCTTGAGCCTCGGGAGTCCATTTGAAAGCAACATGTTGCCTAGTTAATTGTGTTACTGGTGCAATGATACCGGAAAAGTTCTTAATTCATTTCCTATAGAAATTAGCAAATCCCACAAAGCGTTTGTCAGGAATGGACTGGCCAGCAATAGTGGGACTCATCTGCCTTATGAGCTGCAGTACCAGGGCTGGCCAGCGGGTGCTCCCAGCAATCAGAGACTCAACCTTGCAGCCAGTCAAACACCTGGAACTAATTATACTGGTGTATTTAAGGGACATTCAGACCTGCAGACTCTGCCTTGGTGTTGTGTTTTTCCTGGGCCCTGTATCTTGTTCCTGCATCCCTGCTCCTGCTCCTGTCTTGTTGCTGACCCAGCTTGATTCTGACCTCTGCTGACTTCTCCTGTTCTGATCCCTGGCTTGTGACCCCGACCATTCTCTGCCTGACCCCCTGTACCTACCTGCCTGTTAGTTGCTGTACCCTGCTCGTGACCTGACTATTCTCCGCTTGCTCCCCCTGTACCTACCTGCCCAATTGATATTGACCCGGCCTGCCTAACGACGCTTGCACTGTTTGTACTGTTATCTGTGGGTGGTTTGGTTTGGTTCGTTTGCACTGTGTTATGTTTTAGTATTGCACTGCGTTTATGTTTGTATTGTTAGTGTTAATAAATTGTTTATAACTTATCTGAAGTCTGCGTTTCCCTGCATCAGTCACACACCTCTGGTCATACCCGGGAGCCCTGAGATTACACCAAGGCCAATCCTGACCAGAAGTGGCTGCACAGGGAAGCCATCTTGGTTTGTTGATGGGAAGGATGGATCTGGATGAGGTTGCGTATTTATATCTGCTAGTTTTTGATGACAGGGAGTATGCTTATCAAACTCTGAAGGAGTATACCCGGGATGAACTGCTAGAATGTATACGGCTCGCTCATGTTCTAGTAGATCAGGGCACAGAGTTCTCTGAGGTGCAGCCATTGATTGAGGTTTGTGCTGAGTTGGTTTCATCTGGTACCCCCGAATGCAGGGATGAATTTTTGCCACCATTTAGTGCAGACCAGGTAGAGTCCCTGGTGTGGTTATTAGAGGATGATGTGGATTGCTTCTTGGAGCGTTATTCCACATGTTCACCACAGGTATTAAGGGATTGTATAAACGCAGTGCAGTCTTTGGTCAGACAGGCTTTGTGTAAGCTCAGCTTTGTTCAACCCATACTGCAGACATGGACAGATTTGTTACACCCAGCCTCAGTCAGCTTACAAAGACCCAGTCCTGCTTCTAATCTATCTCCTCAAAGCTCTACTCCTGCATTCCCAACAGCTCCTCCTGCCCTGCTATCTACCGCATGTCAGTACCCTGTTCCCACTCGCTGCACCTATCCTGCCTTTAACCCTATAAAGAAGCCCTCTGTAGCGACTGTTCCTTCCCCTGTTCTATCCTCCAGCTCTTCTCTGTCTCCAGCTGCTCCATTCATTTTCAGACCTGCGTTTACTTGCAGTGCCCCAGTAGTTAAAACCAGAAAAAAGCGAAAATTCTTTCCAACCAGTACCATCCTGCCAGTATCCAAACCGGTGAGCCTACCGTCTGAGAACCTGCCTTCCGTGGTTCAGCCTGATGCCTCTACTCTACTCAGCCTGATGCCTGTACTCAGCCTGAAGCCTCTACTCAGCCTGAAGCCTCTACTCAGCTTGAAGCCTCTACTCAGCCGGATGCCTCTATTCAGCGGATGCCTCTACCCAGCATAATGAACTGATCCAGCCTGATGATCCTATTAGGCCAGTTGACTCGATGCCTGCTGTTGATCCAGATGATCCGGTACCTGATCCGGTGCCCGCTGTCGTGCCAATTGACTCAGAGCCCGCTGTCCTACCTGGTGACTCGGTGCCCACTGCCTTGCCAGATGACGCGGTGCCCGCTGGCGAGCCAAATGACCTGATGCCTGGTGACCCAGTGCCCGCTGTCATACCTGGTGACCCGATGCCCGCTGTCGAGCCAGACGATCCAATGCCAGACGACTTGGTGCCCGCAGTCTTGCCAGACGACTCGGTGCCCGCTGTCCCGCCAGTTGACTCGATGCCCGCTGTTCCGCCAGTTGACTCGGTGCCCCCAGTCTTGCCAGATGACTCGGTGCCTGCAGTCTTGCCAGACGACTCGGTGCCCGCAGTCTTGCCAGACGACTCGGTGCCCGCAGTCTTGCCAGACGACTCGGTGCCCACAGTTCCGCCAGTTGACTCGATGCCCGCTGCCCGCTAGTTGACTCGGTGCCCGCGGTCTTGCCAGACGACTCGGTGCCCGCAGTCTTGCCAGACGACTCGGTGCCCGCAGTCTTGCCAGACGACTCGGTGCCCGCAGTCTTGCCAGACGACTCGGTGCCCGCAGTCTTGCCAGACGACTCGGTGCAGTCTTGCCAGACGACTCGGTGCCCGCTTGCCAGTTGACTCGATGCCCGCAGTTCCGAGTTGACTCGGTGCCCGCAGTCTTGCCAGATGACTCGGTGCCCGCAGTCTTGCCAGACGACTCGGTGCCCGCAGTCTTGCCAGACGACTCGGTGCCCGCAGTTCCGCCAGTTGACTCGGTGCCCGTGTTCCGCCAGTTGCCAGTTGACTCGATGCCCGCTGTCCCGCCAGTTGACTCGGTGCCCGCGGTCTTGCCAGACGACTCGGTGCCCGCGGTCTTGCCAGACGACTCGGTGCCCACTGTCGTGCCTGGTGACTCGGTGCCCGCCGCTCCGCCTGGGGGCCCGAGACCTGTCGCTCCGCCTGGGGGTCCGGCGCCCGCCGCTCCGCCTGGGGGTCCAGCGCCCGCCGCTCCGCCTGGGGGCCTGAGACCTGTCACTCCGCCTGGGAGCCTGAGACCTGTCGCTCCGCCTGGGGGTCCGGGCGCCCGCCGCTCCGCCTGGGGGCCCGTCCTCCGCCTGGGGTCCGGCGCCCGCCGCTCCACCTAGGGGCCCGGCGCCTGCCGCCCCGCCTGGGGGCCCGATGCCTGTTGCCCCGCCTGGGGGCCCGATGCCTGTCGCCCCGCCTGGGGGCCCGATGCCTGTCGCCCCTCCTGGGGGCCCGGCGCCCACCGCTCCGCTTGGGGGCCCGATGCCTGTCGCCCCCGCCGGGGGGCCCGATGCCTGTCACCCCGCCGGGGGGCCCGATGCCTATCGCCCCGCCTGGGGGCCCGATGCCTGTCGCCCCTCCTGGGGGCCCGGCGCCCGCCGCACCGCTGGGGGCCCGATGCCTGTCGCCCCGCCTGGGGGCCCGATGCCTGTCACCCTGCCTGGGGGCCCGGTGCCTGCTGCTTCACCTGGTAATCTCCCGATGTGCCTCTGCCCGGAGTCCAGCCCGATGTGCCTCTGCCCGGAGTCCAGCCCAATGTGCCTCTGCCCGGAGTCCAGCCCGATGTGCCTCTGCCCGGTGTGCCCCTGCCCGGTGTGCCGCTGCCCGGAGTCCTGCCCGGTGTGCCAGTCTTTGATATCCCGCCAGTTACCAGACCCGGGCGGTGGAACTTTTTGCCCAGCTAGGACTGTTTGGAGCGTCCTGAGGCCGCTCCTTGAGGGGGGGGGGGGGGGGGGTACTGTCAGGAATGGACTGGCCACCAATAGTGGGACTCATCTGCCTTATGAGCTGCAGTACCAGGGCTGGCCAGCGGGTGCTCCCAGCAATCAGAGACTCAACCTTGCAGCCAGTCAAACACCTGGAACTAATTATACTGGTGTATTTAAGGGACATTCAGACCTGCAGACTCTGCCTTGGTGTTGTGTTTTTCCTGGGCCCTGTATCTTGTTCCTGCATCCTGCTCCTGTTCCTGTTCCTGTCTTGTTGCTGACCCGGCTTGATTCTGACCTCTGCTGACTTCTCCTGTTCTGATCCCTGGCTTGTGACCCCGACCATTCTCTGCCTGACCCCCTGTACCTACCTGCCTGTTAGTTGCTGGACCCTGCTCGTGACCTGACTATTCTCCGCTTGCTCCCCCTGTACCTACCTGCCCGATTGATATTGACCCGGCCTGCCTAACGACGCTTGCACTGTTTGTACTGTTATCTGTGGGTGGTTTGGTTTGGTTCGTTTGCACTGTGTTATGTTTTAGTATTGCACTGCGTTTATGTTTGTATTGTTAGTGTTAAGAAATTGTTTATAACTTATCTGAAGTCTGCGTTTCCCTGCGTCAGTCACACACCTCTGGTTATACCCGGGAGCCCTGACAGCGTTGTACCGCTTTCCTGTCTCCTGGGACGGGCCACTCTAATACAGAGGTCACTTTTTGAGGATCCATAGCAATGCCATCGGGAGTAATCACAAGACCGAGGAACTGAATGGTCTGTTTCTCAAATTCGCACTTTTCAGCTTTGGCATAGAGGTGATGTTGGCGTAACCTACCCAGTATCTTCTTTACATGGTCCCGGTGTTGTTCTATTGAGCTTGAGAAGACTAGGATGTCATCCAAATAAACAATGATAAATAAATCAAGATAGTCCCGGAATATATCATTAACGAAATGTTGGAATGTTGCTGGGGCATTACAAAGGCCAAATGGCATAACCAGGTATTCGAAGCGCCCAAAGCGTGTTTGAAAGGCCGTCTTCCATTCATCCCCTTCCCGAATTCTGACTAAATTGTATGCACCTCTCAGATCTAGTTTTGAAAAGACACATGCCCCTCGTAGCCTTTGGAACAATTCAGGAGGAAGAGGATAACGGTTCTTGACTGTTATCTTATTTAGATCACGATAGTCCACACATGGTCTAAGAGTATGATCTTTCTTTTCGACAAAGAAGATACCAGCTCCCGTTGGTGATGAAGAGGTCTGAATAAACCCTTTTTCCAGGCTTTCATCTATGTAATTCCGTAGGACCTCTAGTTCCAATTCGGAGAGAGGGTAAATTAGCCCAAAAGGGATCTCAGCTCCGGGTGGGAGTTCAATAGGACAATTGTAGGGCAGGGACAAGTTTCATCATCTCTGAATAAGGATGGATGCTAAGAAGAGGAGTCACTGCGCATGGTTCCTTTGGAATGCAATAGTTCTGACAGTTTTCGGAAGAAAAGAGGATTTCCCTGGAGAGCCAGTTGATGGATGGGTTGTGCGCCCTTAGGCAGGGCATGCCGAGGAGGACCGGAAACATTGGTAAGGTTATGACATCCAGATATACAAGTTCCTGATGTCCTGAGGATGAGTGGCAGAAGATTGGCATAGTCTCTTGCGTCACTGGGCCAGAACTGATACCAGAGCTATCAGCCAGATGGACCGAAAATCTTTGCTTCTTGGTACAGGGAGGGATATTGTATTGATGAGCAAAGGTAGAATCCATGAAACAGCTACAGGCACCAGAGTCTATAATTGCTAAAACAGAAATAGTTCTTCCAGCAAGTTGCAAGTGAAGAAGGAAGGGGAGGTGCGTTTGACTCTTTCCTTGTGGGTTCATCATATGGAACCAGCTAGGAGAGGGCTTAGGAGGTCTTACTGGACATGTCAGTACATAGCAGGGGCGGACTGACCATTTGGAAACTCGGGCACTGCCCAAGGGCCCGGGGTCAGTAGGGGGCCCCATGAGATGCCCCTGGTACCTTTTTCATAGGCTTTTTTGAGTTTGGGCAAGGACACAGGGGCCCCATGATCCCCTATTGCCCGGGGGCCCCATGAGTTGTCAGTCCGCCCCTGGTACATAGTGACCTGCATCACCACAGTAGCGGCAGAGGTTGGAGTCTTGTCGTCGAAGACGTTCAGCAGAGGATAATGGTGGTCTCCAAAGCTCCTATGAGGAGAATTACAAAGCCCCCTTTTGCTGGAGAGTATGTCTGATGCGACAGCAGTGGGTGAGGGAACAGGAGTCTCTATTTCAGAGCAGATCAAGACACCCCTGCTAGTTCTTTTGCCCTGCCTTTCCCGGAGCCGTTGGTCGATTTGAATGGCCAGGTTTATCAGGTCCTCTAGCCTGGTTGGTACTCCAACTCGGGCAAGCTCATCTTTCAAGATGTTAGAGAGACCAAGGTGAAACTGATGGTGGAGAGCAGACTCAATCCATTGAGTGTCGGAACGCCATATACGGAACTCGGTGACATATTCCTCTATAGGCCTTTGGCCTTGCTGTAGCTTGCTAAGCATAAATTCCGCAGTCTGACGACGGAAGGGATCAGCGTAAAGTTGTGACATCGCTGAGAAAAAAGAGTCCGTAGAAGTCAGAACCGGATCATGTTACTCACGAAGGTGATGTGCCCTGGATTGGGGTTCATTCTGAAGGAGTGAAATAATAAATCCCACTCTGGTGCCTTGTGATGCAAAGGTTCCTGGCAACAGAGAAAAATATAGCTCACATGAGTTACGAAAGGTTCGAAACCTCCTGCGGTCTCCCGTGAAAAACTCGGGAACCCGAGGTTCCGGTGGAGGAGAAGTCCCATGAATCATGCTGAGCTCTATCTGGGTAGTTATGTCTGAGACTGCAGAAGGACCTATGGCTGTTGAGATATCTGCCTCAGGTATTGGAACCCGGGGTTCCGGTGGAGAAGTTACATGAATCATACTGAGCTCTGTCTGGGTAGTTATGTCTGAGACTGCAGAAGGACCCATGGCTGTTGAGACATCTGACTTGGTTGGTAATTGGTTTTCCATGTGCTCAAGGTTTTTTTACAAACTCTGCACCATGTAAGACAAGGCAGAGATTGATTGACAGATGTCCCCCATTGCAGAGGCCTCCCTTTCAGACTCCATCACTGGCTGACTGGTACTGTCACGTACCTGATTGGAGACTGAAATGACGAGGTTGGCCTCACTTGTGTCACTAGCCCTGATCCCACTGGAAGTGGAATAGTGGGTCCAGGGGGACAAGAGCGCCAGCAGATGTTGTTTGCAGCTCTTGCAGTTGGAGACTTTGGAAGACTTATGAACCTCCAATTCAGGCACAGTAGTAGTATGCAGAGCTGGTATGGTAGATCGCCAGGTGTGCACCAGGGCAAGGCAGGAAGCAGGGATAGGAGACAGGAGCAATGTCAAAGGAACAGCCAGGGTCATCAACGAGCGGACAGCGAGGTACCAAATCATAAGCAAGCCATGGTCAGGAGCAGAGCCGAAGTCAGGAACCAGTATCAAGCAGGAGAGGAAT